TGATTTTTCATTAAAAATCTAAAATATCTCCGTAATACGTTCGGAAAGCTACTTTTTTTATTGTTTTAATCGAAAGCTTATTATTTTTTCAATCAAATTCAATGAAAATAAAATTTTTTTTAAATCGTTAATTGCATTAAATTCTTAACCAAATACCGGCTGGTGGAATCTCTATTTCATGCAAAAATTACAATTTTCCTAATTATTTTCCTAACTGTTTTTTAATTTTTTTATTAATTATTCCGTAGATTGAATTTACAAGTTTAAAAAATTTGACTTAAACTTAACCTATACCATTAAAGTCTACCAAGAAGGGCTACTTTAAATTAGATTAGATTCTAGAATAAGGGGCGAGAAAGGCGACACTTGGTCGGGTCAAAGCAATGACCCTAAGACATTAGATGTCGTCCCTTTGGAGTTTAGTTTCGCTCGATACTTTGTCGAGGGCTATAAAAAAGTCTGAAGGCCGCTTGGAATATTTGCCCCGCTAATTTATGTTTGTGTTATTACAAGATCATTAAATTGTAGATGGAGCTAATAATAACAAATTGCAAGACTTGTTCTGGCGCCCTTCAAGGTAATTCGTATAAATGATGGCGTTCCGATCGACTGGGGTGTTCGTCCATCGAAATGCCTCTGAAATTAGATCCCCAGCTGAAGGTCGAACAAATTCGCAGGGTGTCGGACAAATTCGGTTAGGAGGGATTGAAAAATGAATCTTCGATGGATTCTTAACAAAAAAGGAAGGACAGAAAATGAATAGAGAGCAGGATAGTCGCTCTCTATGGGGATGGAGTTGAGCTTGGAAGGGTTGGGGAATCCAACGAGCATTGCTTCGGGCATCAGTCATATTATGTTTGCTCTCATTGTTTACAACAGTATACTAGATTCTGTGCGGGAACCTTATGCTTAATATCTTGTATTAAACGATCCTAAGACATTGTTGTAGTTTTGCCATTAACTAGCGCATGAATTATTTGTTTATACTGCGGAGTTTAATTTTAGAGCAGTTTGATGATAAACAATGAAAGGATATGTATTATTTATTATCAATCCTATGCTTAGGGGCACCATACCCAATTTATAGGAAAAGTTCCTATACAACAATCGAATACTTTCAATGGATGGATGGTTCCTATATTGTATAGTCTTCACTATCTTATAGGAGTGTTCCTATTATATTATAGGAATGGTTCCTAATATTATGGGATGACGCACATAATAATAGAAAAATGTTTATTTTCATAATAAAACAATCACCTAAAAAATATAATTATTATATATTTTTTTGGTAATAAATTTTTTTTTGTAAATGAAAATTGATCTTTCACTAGAGTGAAAAAATTTCTTTTTCATAATTTTTATTCACGTGTGTACTTAATCTTAAATCGTTTATTCCAACTCAGTTATAATTGTGTTAGTTAATATTGAAAAATATTGTAGCAATTCTAAAGTTTTTCTAATAAAAGGGATATTTTTTCACTATACAATTACAGGAGCAAAATAGATATGGAAATTCATTGTTTATTTTTACAATTTTATTTTATTTTTAAAACAAATTATTTATTTACAATTTTATTCACGTGTGTACTTAATCTTAAATCGTTTATTCCAACTCAGTTATAATTGTGTTAGTTAATATTGAAAAATATTGTAGCAATTCTAAAGTTTTTCTAATAAAAGGGATATTTTTTCACTATACAATTACAGGAGCAAAATAGATATGGAAATTCATTGTTTATTTTTACAATTTTATTTTATTTTTAAAACAAATTATTTATTTACAATACATACGTTGAAAATTAATTAAATCCACCTTTTAGGTATGTAACTTTTATTGTTTATATGAACAATATTAGTTATTTTACATATTTAAAATGATGTTATTGAGAGGCAAGTAAAATTATCGAAATTACTAATAATTTCAAATGCCTCAAAGTGGTCAAAATTAGTCAAATGATCAATAAAATATTTTATTACGAGTGTAATAACATTAAATTTTCAACGTCACAGAAACTTTATCGTTTTTCTATAGATTAGAAAAGTTATTCTTGTACTGTTGTGTGAAAAAATATTACTTCAATATTATAGGCAACATCACTAGAATATTATAGGAATGGTTCCCATGATATAGGAATGGTTTCTATAATATATGGGAATGGCTTCTATAATATCTAGCGTTTATTCCTATAATTATGGAAACCATTCCTATAATATAGAAACTATTCTAATATATTATGGGAACCATTCCTATATAATGGAAATCATGCCGATAATATTACACCTTTTATAGGTATCGTTCCTATAATTTCAGGAACCATTTCTCTAATTATAGAAACATTTCCCTAAAATTTCGGATAGAATTTCCATAATCACTCCCAAAATGGTATAAGAAAATATTTCATTACAATAGAAACGATTTCCACATTTTTCCTTCCATGTAATGGCTAAGACGGGCATGAGTTACAAAAATGGGAAAAGAGACTTGCGTTAAAGAAATTAGAGAGATAATTCCTCGGACGAATACCCAATTTACCCTTTTCGCAGCAGCACCCTGGCCTTATTATCTAAAGTGCTCGGGTTGAGGCTAAAAAAAGCTAACAAAATCTACCAGCTGAAAAGAACGGACCAGAGAAGGTACAAAGAAAAAAAGTTACGGGAACGAAGAAAGAGGTAGTCTTTCCTACCGTGCACGTCCGACGTTGAAAAAAACTAAACAAAGTGGTGAGATATACCCACACCCGGCTCTTATTTCTCCGCTGCCCGGAACTACGTTTCAGGATGTCGAGATCCTCGCGAGACTTTTTGCGGAGCTCTATAATTTATTTACGCGCCAGATATTTTACCGGGTTCCTTTTCCTCGAGGAAAACCCTTTTATTTTTAGCAGCATCACCCAAGACCGGTAATCCGATTAGTCTGATCGTCCCAGGTCCTTATTTCACCCAGTCCCTTTCTTTTATCCCCAGAACTAAACTTGTTTCCGCTCTTTTCAGTCTATTAATTATCATCTTCCCAGTAATTTACCGTATGCATCTCCTAGGTCCATTCTTTTCACCCAATTGGGCGCCATCACCATCAATAACTTGTCGGCAAACATTTTTGACAACTAGGATTGCAAATCAAGGACCATCAGCTAGCTTGGATCCATCAACTAACATCAAAGCTGACCATCATTCACCAGCAGGACAACATTGATCTTATCAAAAGAACCAAATCAGACGGATTCTTTGTCGGTAGAGATTTCATCCATCAATCGATGGATCAATTGGTTGTCCATGACGTTGACGAACCAAAAGAGGATCCACCATTCTCGTGCTCTGTTTCGCTTCTATCCAGGTGAGGGAGTATTAAAAACTTGGGGGTGGCTGTGGTCAGGTACCAATCACCCGGGCTGGATAAATCAGGCGCGGAGTGAAGGGACGCTGTGCCAAAATACTCAGAGGCCATCAAGACCACCGCTATTATCCCTCCAACCCCCTTTGGCGACCCTAAAACTGCATCTACTCTCTTCGCCAGCTCGGCTGTGTACTCATGGCTATATGACAAGCGATATACATGAAATCCATCGCTCTCTCATTTATTCCCTCACTTTTACACTGTTTGCATCCTTTTCGCCAGCGGGAGCAACAGAGAGGCTTGGTTTAGTGTCCTTGCTGTCCAATACTGTCCTCTCGATTCTCTTGTCCTGATGCTGCTGCCAGTATCACCTCGCACCACCGTGAAATTTTAATCGTGTCGTCATTGGGGTAGTTTGTTGCGATAACCCGACCAGCAGCGTGTATCCGCGGATTTACAGGAAAAAAAACGAGGTATTCAACGCACGAATAGGAGGAAAAAAGAGGATCGATTTGACGACATAACCTCGCTGTTTTTTTTTCTGAGGGAAATAAAAACCTCTAACTGACCAATTTGGCGCCCAAGGTTTTCTTGATTGTTATTGTTATTGCTATTGACTGATTTTTTGCCTATAAAATAGGTAGTGAGGGTAAAAAGGCGCTCAGCTCTTGGATATCTGATTAGTAATTTTGAGTGGTTATTGAATCGAGAGGTCTTTGATGTAAAATAGTAGAATAATAATGTATAAAACTGGTTTTTGTGGGATTTTTATCTCTCGATTTTCCGACGTGTGTGGCTAGCTTTGTATTTTCCATCAATCACGCCCGTGGCCTTTTCACCGGACAAATGTATTATATAAATGTAGTCGTATGTCCACTACATCTGTATATGTGTATTTATAAATCTGTGTAAATGTTCTGTGTATAGTTATTTTAAACAGAGAGTTTGAGAATGGCTTTTTGCCACGCGCTATGCACATTCCTGCTCCATGAATCCCTGTTCAATTGCATCAGACAAATTATTGAATCCGAATTGACATTTGTCACTCTTTTACATTCAGTGACGTTTATAATAACAATAGTTACTGTAATAATAGCATTAGTTGCTATTTAAATACTTACTATTCGTTTCTTTGATCAGGTATTTAATTTTATTTTATAGGTTTATTGATTCTACAAAAAAAAAAAACATCAAAACTTCCCACAAAATGCATTTAAACTCTGACATTGATGAATTAAATCGTTTAACCAGTAAAAATTGTTAAAAAATCCGTTTTGGGCATTGGGGCCCATAACCTGCTGAAATAATGAATTATAAACTAGCTATTTACACCAAATTGAAATTAACAGAACAGAATTGATGAATGTGATAAATTTGGATTGAACTGTCGTTAAACAAAGACGTATAGCCTAAAATAAAAGTCAATATTACCGTCTTAAACTCTAATTTATTTATTTACAACGACGATATTGCACTATATAAACTTGCAATCGATTGAAAACATTTGTCCGACTCTTGATAATATGAGTCATTATATATATAATATATAACTGTAAATATATATAGGTTGATAAGGATTGATTTTATTTAAAATTAAATTTGTACAGACTAATCGATTACGAGCGTACCCTGGTTAGTCCTCCGAAGTCCTAGAACCTCTAAATCAATAAGGTCTCCAAACGTGTCTCGGCTGAGGACTTATGTCTTTCCGCGGTCTAACTGATTCCTTTTCATCAATATCCTCCTCTTTTTTTCTAGTAGTAAGATCCTGGCCCATATTTTCCTTATCCGAGTTCCTTTTGGTGCTTAGATCAACCGTGCCTTCAAGCTTGATCTTCACCGTCAAATCATGTCTGTGTTCCGGATCAAGCCTATCTTCAATATCATCATTCAAATTTTCCACAGTGGGTCTTAACCTTTTCTCCAGAAAAGATTCATCCTTGTTGTCTCTACTAGACAATCTTGGAGAATCAGCTTGAGAATCTTCACTCCTGACCTCTTCTATCTTCGGATCCTGATCACTAGGATCATCAACTTCGATGCTACCTTCTGGGCTGTCAACATCAGCATCTTGATCTCCAACATCCTGGGGCCTGTCCGTAGAAGCATCACCATCTTGGTCACCATCATCACTTGAGCTTCTAAGTTTTCTCAAGTCTTCCAGACTCTGCCCCGGCCGTTGGAGACGTTGCTGCGCCATTCTTAGAGCTAGGGTATGCCAATCCGGTTCTAGTATGTACTGCTGCTGGTAAGTCGACAGTGGATTGTAGAGCCAGGATGATTGTGGCAAAAACGGCGCAAATATTGACCCAAATAAGGAATTCGCTCGTAGCAGATGCAAACCTAGAAGATAACTCTGTCAGAAATTGGTCTGATGCAGCATCAAGGATTACTTACTTTGGAAATGTGGGTGAGAAGGACTTGCAGCCGCTGGCTCAGCTGGAGGAGTTGGTGATGCTACTGCAGTGGTCAGCAATCCTGGACCAGTGTTGGGAGAGTCAGTTGGAGGCGCCTCCCTTACAGAGACGCTCAGTGGACCCAATTCGTTCCTTGATTCTAGAAGCACATATGGATTAGAATTGGAATCTTGGAGCCGTGCTAGGAAAAAGAAGAATTGAGTGACTTACCAGTTGGACCAGGAGCTGGAAGCCGTGATCTCTGCTCAATAGCATGATGAAAAGGGTTGAAGGCCGAGGTTGCTGTCGGCGGATGCTGTGGCTGCGAAAGGTGACCTGGTGGTGGTGGTAAACAGTGCGGAGGCAAAGAACCGCGTGGTGGTCCACCCCATTGTCCGTTTTGCTCCAGACTGAGATGTTGCAGGCCTAATTGGAACAAATATGAAGCAAATTAGTGAATGAAATATCAAAGGATGGAATTGATAGCCCTGAAATGGTTGGTAAAAATGGTTGGTAAAAATGGTTGGGAGGAATTGGGGAGAAAATTAGCGGATAATGCAAGAATTGGAGGATTTATAAATGATTGAGAATGCAAAACGTGTAGTAGCGGCGGGATATCACATGAATTTTGTGGCAGAACGAGCGACTACCTGATGATAAAGAGTATGAGAATAGAGAGACAAAGAGCTTGACGGTGCGGTGTCACCGTGGCTGAGAGTGAGAGAGAGGGTTGGTTGATCAATAGCAGATTATATCGTCATCTGTGCGGAACGGTTCAAAAATTCCGTAAAAGCTCCGATGCTAGTACTGTCCGCGAGCGTGGAGCTAGAGGGTGATTGGGGGAGTGATGGAATGGGATAACAGTCAACCCAGTGGGACACTGTGTAAAACGTGACGGTTATAAGCGGGTTCGAGGGTCAGGGGTTCGTGATTGAGGCAACAGTTCTGCCAGGAGGAGAAAATAAAAGGTTTCAAGGGAGGGAGTTAAAGGGGAAAAATTGAGGGGAATATTATGGACCAGGTGGGGTAGGAAACCGAGTCACTGGCGCGTGGGCGTATCTCGCGGAGATTGCGGCCTACCGGATTGGCTGCCCGCAAACCCCCACAACGAGCTTTTCCCGGTTGACGAGGTAGGGTTGAAAAAAAACCACGCGGTAATGTTTAAAGGTGTGGGTGTGTGTCTGTGTGCAAAGTTTAAACTCGAAAAATTCTCACGTGGGGGCGCAGTTTATTAACTCGACTCTTTTGCGCGATGTGGCGCTGCTAACGGTGCAATGCTGATGTGAAAGAAGGCATGGATTATGAAAGAGGATTTTTAAATAATAAGCTTTATGCGGCGGCTGATAGAGACCGCCACTGTTCTTTTTTTGAATGTTTTTAAGAATTGAATCATCTGAAGGGGAGTTTTAATAAAATTTACGGGGAAATAATGACCACAGCGTCTTAAAAGTTGGGAAAGGGATTCTGAGTGATAATTCTGGAAACAAATGAAGACTAATGAGAGGAGGGTTATAGCTAACGCTAAGAAATTAGATGCGAAAGGGTTTCAGGTCGCTTAGGGTGAGAATTGATGTAACGGCTTCCCACGCACTCACGGCTCAAATTAGGATGATAAATCATCGCTCTGATCATCTGCCGATGGAAAGATATGTAATTTCTTAATTTGTAGATGCATATAAATAATTTTGTTAGAATTTGAAGAACAACTTAAAGATTTTGCTATAGTAACAAAACTGTTTTCTTTTATAACATATCAATAACTTATAACCTAAATTTTGTTATTTTAACATATAATTTATCAAAATCATTTATTACCACCCATATCTTATGATAATTTAACAAAATTTTTTTCTGCGCGTAACACCTCCCCAATTTATCGATTGACGATTCCTGCAACTGATTCAAGCATCAGAGTCCAAGCTCTGAATTTAAAACCTCCGGGCGAATTGTTTGTCTCTAATCCGAGGGCGTGGATCATTCTTAAGCCCTGTAGATACATAATAAATTAATTCACGTATTTTCCTGTCTCTTATCTATTCAAATCTATGCAAAACGGGCCGGTTAAAAGCAGTGGCAAAAGCAACAGCCTTTCTTATTCTACGCTAACCCTTGTCGAAGTTTCTCAACCCTTATCCTCGCTTTTCACTTTAACCTCTCTTGTGTTTCTTTAGTCCCGTTCTACACTCTTCTACCTTAAAATCTAAGACCCTCCTTCTCCTCTAGCCTCCTAGGTCTCCAAGCTATATCTAGAGAGTTAGTGAACCCCTTGTGTTAAAACTATGTCTCTCGTTCTCTTTTCTCAGCCCTCCTTCCGCCCGTTAGTTGCAGAAGCGGTCGCTCCGGGTGTCTTTGCACACCCACCCTTTACGCCCGTTCTCATTATCGCGTCTCTACCCCTAAAATGCTATCCTGCTAAAGGTCTTCAACACTACACCACTACAATCTAGAAAGCAGGCTAGCACATAAAGTAACACACCAACGAATCGATGATAATATTCTAGCGTTTAATTTTATAAGTCTAAGGAGTATTCATAAGTAGTTTTTGAATTGTCCGGAATAACGAGCCTGTTTTGGGGGATTTAAATTATGCGAATTTAAGGCGAACTGATCGGAAATGAAAAAAATAAGGAAAGTTTTTCTGCTACAAGGAGGAGTTTTAAAGTGAGCGTCGTAACAATCTACCCTAAATGAGGTAAAGGCTACCTTATTGAAACAGGGGTTGCCATTTTTCCGGGTCTAACCATCCCACCAAAGCGGTTAATTGACATGAGGAGGGTTTGGTGAGTGAACGCTAAGAGACGCGTAACGGAAAGAAAAGACTAGGGACTTTCTTGTGCCATTCTTGTTAACTCGAGTCTCAAGCTCGCGATTTTTCATTCCCCTTCACTATCACTGCCTATCACTTTTTCTGATGGGAAGCTTTGAATGAGGGTCTGGACAATCTCAACGCCTGATAATCTCAAGCCGAGGTATTCAAATTTTCATTAAGAAATTTTCTGGGTACTTTCTATAACGCAAAATTCTTTTTATGCATGAAATCCATCAAATTGCAAAACAATAACTCCAAGTGTCATCTCTCGTAGCGTAATTTGATAAAAAAGGAATATGGGGTGTACAGAAGAACTGTTAAAATGTGCCGGACTTTGAGTCGACGTCAGGACCCTTGAGGAAACCCCATAAAATACATCCCCAAGCTGCTGAGGTAGCCCGAACGAAATTTAATAACATCACCCTAGTTACACCTCAATGGGCACCTTAACAACCCAGTCTTTCGATCCCGTCTTTCAGCTCCTGTGTAACCTTGCTCACTTGCTGTTACACTAAACTTCATTGGCGTCGTAGCTCCTTACCAACCCTGAACCCCTCGTGCCGCGGATATCTAATAAACCACCCTAAAAAACTTACCCTTCGCGCCAACGATACACCCTCTTCTGTTGACGTGTTCCTGCATTTACCAACATACATGCCCGCATGATACACGATACACACGCCAATTGCCTGGAATGGGAATTCACTGGACTGAACTGGACAGTGGCGCAACCTGTGGGTCAGCTGGAGAACTCGCTCGCCAAAGGGTTAATGTATGCACCTACATATGAGTATCAACGGGTTATCTGCATAAAGTTTCAGCAATTAGCCATCAGGCGGCGTTTTTGCGTTTTTGCGGGAGAGTGGCTTAAAGAGAGAAAGTAATAAAAATTTCAATCAAACGTTGAATGAATTGAATGGAAATTGATCGGCTAGGGGGAGGGGGGGGGGCATGGGACGGACAGAAAACCATCGTTTTCCAGGAAGAGCGAGAGTGACGCGATTTCGGGATGCCCGGAGGGTGGTGAGTTCTATAGCGGAGACGCGAAGGGAAAGAGGAGGGGACGCAGAAGCTTCGTTAAGCCGCTTATCATGCCGAAACAATACACTGTTGGTGCACCAGTATCAGTTACTCTCTGTCCTCAAATGATCCCCGCAGGCCTAGCGCCTAGTCCCATCAAAATTTTCCAGGCTTTAATCGAGTTGGAATTCCAAACGTTTTAAAGTTTTTACAACCTCCACTACTGTTTATTTTGTTGACTGACTGGAAAATATGGATAACAAACACTACCAACGGATAAAGAGAATTAATTTATGATAAATAAACTACTGGTGTACACTCAAAACCTGAATTACTGTCATAACATCGATATTTTGCCCATTTGGCGCCCAAGGATTTTAACATTTTGTACAAAAAAAAATAATGAACATGATAAAATCATGTTGCAGCCAGATGATTTGTCATGTTTCGGCTATATGATAATCATGGTAGGGCAGCATGACAAAAATCATGTGACTGTGACATGATTTTCATGTTTTGGCTACATGACAATCATGTTGGGTTAGCATGAGAAAAATCATGTGGCAACAACATAATTTTCGTGTCACCTTAATAGCACAATATTAAGCTGCATCAACTAAATACTTATGCTTTAGAAACATTATTTATAATAAAGTAACTAGGTTTTTTAGGATTTATAATATTGCAGATAAAAATAAAAGTAAATTATCGAATTATACAATTTGTGAACGATATCTTTGTTTATTTAAATTTACGCTATTTAGCTACATGAAAATCATGTTGCCGTCACATAATTTTTCTCATTCTACCGCAACATGATTGTCATGTAGCTGAAACATGAAAATCATGTTGCTGCCACATGATTTCATCATGTTCTTTCACAGGGAAAAAAGGAAGTGTAACATGATGCAGAGTTGGTAAATAAACATGATAATATCATGTTGCAGCATCATGATTTGTCATGTTTCGGCTACATGACAATCATGTTGCGGTAGCATGAGAAAAATCATGTAGCAGCAACATGATTTTCATGTAGACTTAATAGCATAAAATAAAGCTGCAAGAACTAAATATTTATGTAATATTACCGTATAATAGTGCTATCATGTTGCTGCCACATGATATTTCTTATGCTACCACAACATGATTGTCATCTAGCCGAAACATGACAAATCATGTTGATGCCACATGATTTTTTTCATGCTACCGCAACAGGATTGTCATGAAGCCTAAACATGACAAATCATGTGGCTTCAACATGATTTGATCATGTTGCATTTACTATTTTTTTTAATGCGACATTTATCATCATAACAAAGGTATCGCTTGATTCCTGGCTAACAGAATCCAAGGTATCGAAAATTCCGCACAATTTATGAAACTAAACGATTGAATCGATGAAGAACTTCCCTTGATACTGCCACAGCAAAGCTAAAAATAGTCTATCTTCAAAAGTGATGTTTTTTACTTGAATTAGTTTAATAAAAAGGCCAGCTACTGTATTTAATCAGAGTCTCTGGGTAGTACATCCGTGAGAAAACTCAATTTTGAGTCTGACGGCAGTTCAATTTTGACACCCTTTACGGCTGGAGCGAGGGAATCAGCAGAAGTAAGCCACCAAGTAACGAATAAGGACGGAATATAAGGATAGAAGGAGCCACCCTTCTCATCTACCTGAATCTACAGAGGAATGGGAGCGGAGTTAGGTTGCAAACTTCGTTACCTATCGACAAGAAGACACGTTGCAAGCTTGGGTGCCTCGGCGAGAAGTGAATCAAGCGAGAGGAATGTGTTGAGGGTGTGCAAGGAGACCTAGGACGCAAGAGCGATAAGGATAGGAGATGCTGTACAAGGCACATCAGTGATAGAGCCTGGGGTGGATAGAAGACTAGTTTAGTAAGCTAGTAGATGTAGAAATTTAAAGTGATATAGTGCCTCGAGCTTGGAGCCAACGCCTAAGAACTTACCGGACAGTTTGAATCCCAATGGATCCTGCGGATGTCCGAAGGGAAATGGCCGTGGTCCGAAGTGGTAGGGATGAAAGGCCTGGTGTCCTGGAACGTGAGAGGCATGCTTTAGATTCTCTTTTTGATAATTTTGCTTTGGAATAATTTTCAAGCTTTTGAAACATTTTTCGGTGAATTGTCTTTTAGGTAATCAAAAATGATGATTAGTACTTACTTGTTTTAGATCTAGGCTCTCGTGGGCCATCCACGGTGACTTTTATCGCCTTGGACAGTGTCGCTACTTGGGGTGGTGATGTTTGCAGCATTATGGTCAGCGTGAAACTTTTTCCTAAAAAAAACTTTAATTAGTTGTTGGGATAACTGAAAAATTTTTTGTCGGGGGATATTTTGTCCGAGATATTTTGTCAGAGTGTTAAAAACCATAAAACCCAGTTGTCATATTTTATCGCTTAACATTTCATAAAATTCCGTCTGAATGCATTCATCCTCCAGCCATAAAAGTATAACCCAGAATTATAGAAGCAAGACGGCTCGACGAGACGTTACGAACCGCGGGACGAATGAAAAACCATAAAGGTGCGGCTTTAGCTTTGGTTTCTCGGTTTCCCTCCTTTCATTATTCAAATCCAATTCCGGGAGCAATTCTCCAGTATTATTTCTCGGCTACCGCTATTTTTTCCAGCCACGGTTCATTTTATTCGTAAATCTCACCTAACTTAGTTTTTTTTGTGCTTATAAAGGACAGAATTAGAAAAAAATAAGAATAGAAAGTGTAAACAGTCGGTTGGGGAGGTGTTACAATAAAAAAAATGGAAAAATAAGAGACGTCGCGACAAATGGCTTGTACACCTTATAACAAGGCGCCAGCCTGGATAAATAGTGGATAGAGAGATGGGAAACTACAAATTCCACGTGGATGCCCAAATATTTGTATATTCACTGTTTAGAGGGACGTAAAAGTACGTTGTTTTATTTTATTATTGCCGGGTTGAGTACACGAGGGTGACGCTTTGGTTTTTATGGTGAACCACGACATTTAACACGGGCTTTATGCTGCTCCAAACTCACACAAGCATATACGTAATTTGTCGATAGGTAGAGCGTGTGTTTATAACTAGCCTCTCTTTCTATGGTCCGCTTGTCGGACCATAGAAATTTCAAGGGTTCTTCTGTTTACAAATTAGGACATTAGGGCTACTAAAAAAATTTTTTGATATACCCTAAATTGTTTTGGTCACTTTAATTTTTTTTCTTTAAAAAAACTTTAATAAATTTAGATTAAAAAATAATTTAGCTCGCAATCACGGTGGATGTATAAATTTAGATTTATCTATAGGTCTTTCATGACAAGTAAAAGTAATTCTTTTTTTTAGATAAGCGGCTTAATGCGTTCTTTGCTCTTGGATAGATAAGACGGCTAATAATTTTTGGTGAAATAAAAGTAATATCACTTTTAAGATTCAAAAATGTTTATTTTTGAAAACTTTAAAGGGAGTTTCAAAGTGTACTTATTGATTTTGATGGTAATTGTCAGTTTTATGGAGCTGACTGGCGCTTCAATGAGAATTTCACCCATATCAGGTAACTTTTTAACTTTGTGGTTTCGATGATTATAATTATTAATACCATTATCATTAAATATTCCAGATCCGACGTACAACGAAAAGTTGAAGTATAAAATGAGGTACATAGATGACCTACCATTCGTGATTGATACTTGGCGCTTAATTATTGTTCCTAAGGCGAATTAATGAAGCTGTGAAGATTTTTGGGAGGAATTTTAAGACCATATTGTAACATTGTATGAAATAAAATAAAGCTTAAAATAAAATAAAAATTTTTCTTTAATAAAAAATTAACCCTTGAGGAAAATGATGATAAAGTAACAAGCTGATAGTTTATTATAATTCGGTGACGTCACAACAGGATGACGTGAATTGTCGACGTTTAGGCGTTTTAGGGGCTGTTTATGAGGCATTATGTGTAACTCGCTGGAAGAATTATCCCCTCGTAGCTTCAACATAACGTCAACCTCACTTTAAATACGTCTAAGATAAAGTTAAACACCATGCAAGAATATTACCGAGTATAAAACAACTAAGGAATACGAAAGAGGCCTGAAAGCAGTCGTGAGATTTTTTAATGTATAGAAAATAAAATATCTTAGCTAAATCAAAAATATTTTTGCATATAGGAAAATATATTAATTCAAAAAAATTATTTAGATTAAAAAGTTTTAAATAATTGAGTAAAATTTATGAATCAAATTAGCCGACATCTGAAAATTTTTATAATTTTTTCGTAAGAAAAAATTATAAAACAATTGAAATAAAAAATTTCACATGTAAATTTGAAAAATAATCCGTGCAACTATTCACATTTTAAAAAAATTCTGGCCAGTGATTGAAAGAAATCGACTACCTCTAAGCTGTAGTTCAAATAATTGCTTCTCCAGTGATGTGTTTAACCAGACCGAAGTGAGTCTGTTTGATAAAGACGTCTCCCGTAAAAAAGTGTACCATATGTGTGTATATTTTGGATCACGCGATTTAGTTTATACAACCGAGCATATATGCGAGAGTTAATTCGGTCGTAGCCTTTCGCTGGTGGTGTTTTCTGTTCTCTCACAGCTCATGTGATACAGCTCGTGATTCCGGCAGTCAAAACGTCAGAATCTTAAAAGACTACAAACACTCGTGGAATAACGATCCTGAATAAGTCACCCTCCGACGGCTGGCTCGTTTCGCCAGCAAACAGGGGAGTTTTTAACGCTGCATGATCCTTGGGTAAACTCCGTCTGTGCGATGTGCCAGTGAGTTTCATATCCATAACACACATACACACACGAGCTTATTATATAATGTAAGATGTAAAATTTATAATGTATGATGTGTGATATGTATAAACATATAGTTTTATATTTCTCGCAGAAAAAAAGATTTACTGAAAAAAATTGTTTTTCTTAATTCAAGAAATTTATTTCAAATTAATCGGACTAGAAATGCTTTATTTCTAGATACGTAGTTAAGAAATGGCCTTGTTTCTTGTGAACTATTGACATTTTTACAGATATAAGCTCATCCCGATGTTACACTTATCAAGACCTTTCATTTGAATACCCACATCAATTTTTCATATATTTTATATATTAATGTATATTATATATATATGTATTTATGAAAAATATATGAAAAATGTATGTGGGTACTCAAATGAAAGCTCTTGATGAGTGTAACGTCGGTATGAGCTTATATCTTGAAAAATGTCAATAATTAAGAAAGTACAGTGCAATTTCACATCGTGACTGCAAGGTTGCTATTTTGATTTAAAAAAAAAAAAATATGTGGTTTCTGAATAGAGTAAAAAAAAAAATTTTTTCAGAATTTTTAAATTTCTAAAATAAAAAATTCTAAAACCGTAATCGTAACAATTAAACCCCAAATAAAATATAAGATACTTTTGTTTCTCCCTTCAGTATTATTTTTGTTGCCAATTAAAAATTAAAAATAAAAGCTCCCCTTAAGTTCGGAGTTAAAGCTAAGGGTGAGAAGGGATTTCTGCGGATGACTGCATTACTCCGAGTTTTTCTACCGATTAAGCATCACTTTTTCCTGCTTCTTGCTCATATCGGTAGCAATAATTTACCTTTTTTATATAAATAAATATATACATATATATTTATTGTTTTATTTCTATATTATAATTTTCATACGAAAGTTTGACAGTATAAGGACTCGGATCGAACTCATCTAGTTTTCTGCTCTCGTGATCATCAATAAATTCATTCGTCCATTTAACGACGATATTCCGTCGTGAAACTTTTCTCGTAATACTCCCTCACGTTTCGATATTATCCAAATATTTTATACGTGTGCTTGCGGAAGATGGCTGATATATTAATGTAAATTTAAGCTATTAAACCTTGTCAAAAGGTAGCCAGGACTTATTTTTGTCGTTAATAATTTATTTAATTAGTTTCAAACAATTTAAACTAAAATTTTTATTCAAAAAATTAAAAAAGTTTAATTTTGTAAATATTAATGATATATTTTAAAAAATTTACTTTAAAATATTCAACCAAATTTTAACAATAATTATTTTATTTTTAAGTCTTATTTAATTAAATTTAATTCAATGGTTAAACTATATTATTGAGAAAATAAGCGAAATTAAAAAAATGACCTTGTATCTTGTGAACTATTGACATTTTTAAAGATATAAGCTCATCCTGATGTTACACTCGTCAAGACCTTTCATTTGAGTACCTACATCAATTTTTGATATATTTTATATATATATATGAAAAATATATAAAAAATGCATGTGGGTACTCAAATGAAAGCTCTTGACTAGTGTAACATCGGAATGAGCTCATATCTTAAAAAATGTCAATATTTAAGAAAATATAGTGCAATTTAACAACAATCATTATTTAATAAAGCAAAATTTTATTTATTTATAGTTCACACAGTGACTGCAAGGCTGCTAGTAAATTATTATTAAAATTTTAAATTGAAAAAAAAATTTTTTTTGCTGGTCCAGAATTTTTTTCTAAAGAAAAAAAGAAATTTATCGCGAATTCTAATCTGTTAGCGACTTTTGAGACGTCCGGGAGTAAGTAAGCTTGAAATAAAATTATCATAACTGTGCAGGGGTGTGTATGGTCAACCCCTTCTTCACCCGGGGCGTTCTGGCCCCTCTAAACTCCTTGCATGTTTCATTTTTTCAGCAGACAGGGGATTAACGTCAACCTCGACGATGAGAATCCTCGACCAGCGGAATAACTGCTGCTGCTACTTCGCAAGCGAGGAGAGTAAGGAGGAAGGGTCGGCTTGGGGTGAGTGGCTCACATAACAATTGTGGATGGCGAAACGAACAGCAGAAACGCATAAATACTGGCGTTACCTGTGTTTTATTGCGAGGATAAAAATAAAAAGAAAGCTGATGCGTTGTAACGGAAATTTTACTACACAATTTCTGCGATTGAGGAAGCGGAGTCGCAAGTGGAGGAAAGGATTGTATCGACAGGTAGAATCCTGAACTATGGGCTTCTGATCGGATTGAAGAAAGCTTTCGATGTTATGAAAGTAGATCCGATTTGAAGACAATGATAAATTTTTTAAATTATTTGTCATGTTTATGTTTTTACAGATTAATATTTCTGCTTAGATTTATTCCAGATTTATTGAATTTTTTATCCCGTTTTTTTTTTTTTTAAATCATATGTTGTTATTATCGATGAATTATTTTAGATGAATTAGTATTGCATTTTTTGTCGATAGAATATTTATAGAAAATTTTATCTTCTTTAAGTACACAAAAACTTTTTTCTTTTAGAATTTAAATATTAGAGATAAAAAAAATTATAATTTTTAAAACTTCCTGAAAATTTGTTTCCGGGATTTAATCAAATAATTAGGTAAAATTGTAATTTTTACATAAAATAGAGATTCCACCAGCCAGTATTTGGTTAAGAATTTAATGCAATTAACGATTTAAAAAAAAATTTTATTTTCATTGAATTTGATTGAAAAATTAATAAGCTTTCGATTAAAACAATAAAAAAGTAGCTTTCCAAGTAGTGTTGAAATTTCAACACAAATTTTGTGTAACCCCTTTTTAACACAAAGATCATGTTGAAATATCGCCACAAGAGGGCGCAAAGAATCATACACTTCTAAAGTGTCAATCTTAACACAAAATAAATGTTAAATAAATTTATTTATTTTCATCAACTGTTTGATGCCTATAACATAACCTATAAAATAATTTTTTTTTATTTCCTCAA